GTGTAGGTGACGGCGTCACGAATGACGTTCTCAAGGAAGACCTTGAGCACACCACGCGTCTCCTCGTAGATGAGACCGGAGATACGTTTCACTCCTCCACGTCGAGCGAGACGGCGAATGGCGGGCTTCGTGATACCCTGGATGTTGTCTCGCAATACCTTGCGATGCCGTTTAGCTCCTCCCTTTCCCAATCCCTTTCCTCCCTTTCCACGTCCGGTCATGTTGGATATTCGTGCGGTAACGTTCGAAAGCAATGAGAAACGTCGGTTAATTCTAGCTGATTTGGCGATGCGAGCGCCTTTTATAGTCCCAGCTGCGGTCGAACCCCCACTCGTCCACCCCGAAGCGCCGAATGTATCACGTGACCTGGCTATTCGATATATATATATAAGGGGAGAGTCGCTACGGTACAGACACTTTCGCCCGTAGCATCGATCGTCCATTCGTTTCTTTGTTGCTTTGCAGAAGTTTTTTCCTTGTTGGAGAGAAATGGCTCGTACCAAGCAAACAGCCCGTAAGTCCACCGGAGGCAAGGCCCCGAGGAAGCAGTTGGCGACCAAGGCCGCGAGGAAAAGCGCCCCGGCCACCGGTGGAGTGAAGAAACCTCACCGCTACCGTCCGGGAACCGTCGCCCTCCGTGAAATCCGTCGCTACCAAAAGAGCACGGAGCTCCTCATCCGCAAACTGCCCTTCCAGCGTCTCGTCCGTGAGATCGCTCAGGACTTCCAGACCGACCTGCGTTTCCAAAGTTCGGCGGTGATGGCCCTCCAGGAGGCGAGCGAGGCTTACCTCGTCGGCCTCTTCGAGGACACGAACCTCTGCGCCATCCACGCCAAACGCGTAACCATCATGCCCAAGGACATCCAGCTGGCACGTCGTATCCGCGGCGAACGCGCTTAAACAGTCCTTTCACCCCCTTCCCGTAAATCAATTTGGTTGGCATAGCAATATGTAACCAATTCGACAATCGGCCCTTTTTAGGGCCAACAATACATTTCGCAACGTAGCAATGCCATCGTAATACTTTCATCTATAAAAAAATATCTATTTATTGATAGTCTTGAATTAATTGTGCATTCATTTTTATAATTTCACGTGAAATAAAGTATACGTAACGATAGTCATTAAATTTTAAAAATTCTACCTATCGTTAGGGATGCAATGGATTTCTTATGTAATTTTCTCGGACGGAATATTCTGCTCGAGACGATATTGAAATACAAAATATCCCAATCGACTGAGAGCGTAGAATTATAACTAATGGGGTCGTCCCTTTCCTTTTATTCGTCGACATTTTTTTTTCTTCTGAGTTGAGACCGCAGCTAATATTAATTCTATTAATGCGAAAAGCCTGTATTAGTTAATTATACCATCAACTTCATTTGTCATAAATTGATGAATGCGAACTTTTCTTTATTTATAACATGCGAATAGGAAATACGTTTTATCAAATTTTACGGACATTACATAATTAGTATACGCCAGCTTTTTTTTATTTGTAGCGGATAAGTAATTAAACCTTCCATGACACATTAATGATTCCTACTTCAAATTTTGATGGTTGATAGTAATATAATTTTATTAATAATTTTCAAAAATTACTTAGTTTTTGAACAAAATTTTGTCAATTTTTCATTTCTCTAGATTCGTCGTTGTAACGTAAAACTATTTTTTATTTTAATGCTTATGTTTAATTAGGTTCAACGAGATATTTATCAAATTCTTTCATTTACTCAAATATTTAAAGAAATTTATAATAATTTTATTACTCAATTTGGTTTTTTGCTTGATACTTGCAATGTTCTTATAATAAAGCATAACAATGAAAATCTGGATTATTCATTGTCGTTTAGATATAAATATATAGGAATATTATAGGAGCAAACATTTATAATTAAAAATTGAGTTTAATTATTGTTAATTTTAAGATTTAAACATGATTAAATTTTGTTATTTATAGTGGATAAAAGTATTAGGTAAAATAATTTTAAGCGGCATTAAAATAATGGATGTACACAATTGAATAAAAATGTTTTCCTCCCTACTATTTGATATTTTATTTTAGTAAACTTGTATATGAATGTTCTTTTGGTCGATCGACATGAAAAATTTATTAAAATTAATAATAAACACCACATTACATGTTTATGATTTACATATAAAACTTGTCAAATTTACATTAAAATACATATATATTATTACTTGAAATTGAAATATATAAATCAATTTTTAATTAAATTATCATGGATTATAAATTTTATTTTTGAAATTTAAGTAGTTGAATTTAAGTAGGGAGATAATTATATTGGCTAATGTATGTAAATAAATTTGTTAATACATTAAAAATCATTTTTAGATTAATTTTATTTACAAAAAAATGCGTTAATTTTAATCAATTAATAATAACGTAATGCAGTAATTTAAGGTGATACATGGATGAATTTTGTAATGAAACAAAATAGCGAATGTACACACACGTTAATGAGATGCTTGGTGGCCCTGAAAAGGGCCGATGATGTTTGTATATTTGTTTTTGCTGTCCGGTGCTGCGGGACTCGCCAAAAGAAAAATTTACTTCGAGCTGGTGTACTTGGTGACGGCTTTGGTGCCCTCGCTGACGGCGTGCTTGGCCAGCTCACCGGGAAGCAGCAGCCTCACGGCCGTCTGGATCTCCCGGGACGTGATGGTCGAGCGTTTGTTGTAATGAGCGAGACGCGAAGCCTCGGCGGCGATACGCTCGAAGATGTCGTTCACGAAGCTGTTCATAATGCTCATGGCTTTGCTCGACACACCAGTGTCCGGGTGTACCTGCTTCAGCACCTTGTAGATGTAGATTGCGTAGCTCTCCTTCCTGCGCTTCTTCCTGTTCTTCTTGTCGCCCTTGGTGATGTTCTTCTGGGCCTTGCCCGACTTCTTCACTGCCTTACCGCTCGCTTTGGGTGCCATTTTCAAATTCGTCCATTCGCCCTCCGACGCCCTTTTATAACGTCAGACGCCCAGCTGCGCCGCTGCAATCACCATCGTCTATCCCTACTCCAGCTATATTTCGCGCCTGCTCAGTATTCCATTGGTTCGGCTTAGCTTCTAATGTGAGTGAGATAGAATAATGGTATATAGCATATTGTGATAATTATATAACTTTCCCCTTCCAGGTTATTTGTAAAACAATTGAATACATAGTGTTGCTATTTTGCTTTGACATAGTATTTGCGACCTATTGGTTCGTTAAAGTTTTTCCCTAATTAATATCTACATAGCCGATAAGTATATAGGAATTATTTAAGAACTATTGTAGAAATTGCAGTTTAAAATTTTATTTGAAATAGTCGATTGTGGTGTTCCCATTGTGTTATAAATGTGGAATACCTATATTTATGCATAGACTTGGATGTTAAAAGCATTGCTTTTTAAATTCGAGTCGTAGTTGTAAATATGTATAATTATAGTAAATAATTATATCATTCGATTTATAATATTATTTATAAATTCTTATATGATAATTAATTGTCTTCTTCGATGATGTATCGTTATATGAATATTAAGTATTATAATAAATAATCATTTTATTAAAAAAGATTTTTAATTCCATTGAATTGCGCATAATTTTATAGTACTTTGTATTTCATGATACATGGAATTTTTAATAAAATTTTTTAGGAATAATTGTGATATATAAGACGAATTTGAAATGGACGCTGCAATGAGACCATATTTAGTTTCAATTTTTACTCTCCAATTTATTAATAATCCATGAAATTGTACATAAATTGTTCCATAATTTACTGATTCGCGGAAAAGGTTGTATTTATATAACTACATAACATTTGTTGAGAAATTCTCATTGCTTAATGCAATAATTACAATTTACACGACTAATATATTAATTATAAATATGAAAAATTAATTTGAATTTAATTCTTCAATTTCATGAATAAAAATGTTTTTTTATCTTATTCAAAGTCTTTTTAAAAATAATCATGTTTTGGATTGCAATTCTACGGGGGCTGGAATATTATTATAATTTTATAATTTGTAATGTCTATCGTAAATAATAAGTGTGTAATATTGATAATTGAATGTATGAGAAGCTCGATATATTTGCTCTAAAAGATAAAATACAAGAGAAAATTACAATCCAGGAATAATATGAAAATTATACGTAATTTTATGAATATTAATGTTAGATATTAATGTTAGATGTTATAAATTGACAACACTTGTTATACAGTTATTTAAACGGAATTTTTTAAATAAAATTATATAAAAACGTTTGTAAATTTATTGATTCATAATTCAAATAGTTTATGTAATTAATAATGTTTGTTATTTTACAAGACAAGCGTCCTACGTTTTTGCAAGCAGTCTAGGTAAATTCTACGCGCGCGCACACACGAATATACAATATTTTGAAAATTTTAATTAGTATGCTAGATAACAATTGGTTTTTTTTTTTTTTTTTTTTTTTTTTTGTTCGTTCATTTTTATCGTTGGATAATTACAAAGACGAAGTAACAAATATTTATATTTACAATTGGTGGTGCTAAGATGTTTGAATACATTATTATAAGCCTTCGTATAACTGGTTGAAATTTTGAATTAAAAAGTATCGTAGAATCTATTTGTGCAATGATGTGATTTGAGATGCATTTAACACGTATTGACGGATTAAATAAGCAACGAAATTACAATATGAAAGTCATGGAGTAATTCGTTATTCTAACAAACGCCATTGTAAAATTCTAGTTAATGGTATTTCATAATTATTGTCATTAATGATCTTGGGTGTGCAGTTCTGAGAAAGTGAGCTAAGAAAGGAACATGGGATTTTTCACAGGATGCTCGTCAATGTAGCTGTGCATTTAGAATCACCGGCATACATTATAATCCAAGGGATGCATTATCGTAAAAATTAATCAACGAGCACGTGAAATTGCGGCCGAAATAATTAAGTAACGCAATTACTTGGCACGTACTTAAGTGCTAAAGGTGAGAAAGGCAGTACCTAAAGTCGCGGTCTCTCGTAACGGGCCGCGCTCCAATAGTAAAAGTCCGTGTACCTAAATATCGCAACATTCACCATACATTTCCGCGGATCTCGCGGGCAGCGAAATATTTGAAAATGTCTGAAACTGCAACTGCAATGGCCGTAGCCGATGCTCCCGTCACTTCGAAAACCACACCGAAGAAGACCGCGAAGAAGGTACCGGGCAAGCCCCGAGCTCATCCCCCCGTCTCGGAGATGGTCAACGCCGCGATAGGCGCCCTCAAAGATAAGAAGGGATCATCCCTCCAGGCCATTAAAAAGTACATCGCCGGCACGTACAAACTCGACGTTGAAAAACAGTCGACGTTCATTAAGAAATACCTGAAGCTGGCGGTGAGTAAAAAAACCATCGTTCAGACCAAAGGTTCCGGTGCTGCCGGTTCCTTCAAACTCGCGACTAAAGCCGAAAATGAGAAGAAAGTGGTCAAGACTAGCGGTGCAGAAAAGAAATCTGCCGGTCAGAGGATCGCTGCGAAAAAGCCTGTAGCTGCAATGAAAAAGCCAGCAACGAAAAAGGCTGCAGTTGTTAAGAAACAAGCGACGAAGAAAGTCGTATCGTCTTCAAAACAAAGTGTTTCGAAATCCAAATTGCCATCCAAGGCGAAGAAAGCTGGGAAAACTCCAGCAACAAAGCCCAAGGCACCCAAATACAAATTCGTTAAACAATAAATTTTACAAACTTTTTATATATAACAGCCCTTTTCAGGGCTACAATATTTTTTTTTACGCGAAACAACAAATATTCGTTTATTTCTCGCTTTACAATACAAACAAATGGATTTATAAAATATTATTTAATGGTTGTCTGGCTTTCTATACTCCTATGTTGTAAGAACAACAATATCAAGATTATTATGACAAAATTGATGTGCACTTTTTAGAATGTAAATTAATATTTCACATAATTTCATTACATTTCGTATACAATTTCTGGATAATTAGTTTAATAAAACTTCAAAATAATTTTTAATAATAAACGTACGTCTGGGACATTGCCAGTACCTTTTATTTTTATTCGTCATTGTAAGTAACGAATTGTAAGAACAACACATATTGATATATATTAATAAAATACTAATGAATGTTACAAATGTGGCATATTAAACGCTGTGATATTAAAAATTAACGAGAGCCTTTATAATTACTCGAGAATATTTATTTATATTTTTAAAAAAGTATCGTTAATTAAAATTAATGTATACATCATAGTAATCTTAATGAAAATATTATAATTTAATTCAAACAACCCGTAAGAACGTATTATTTAATAGAAACGTATCATAAATATATATATATATTTTTAAACTATATAGAAGTGTAAATATTTTTTATATAAAAGTATGTTATAAAAGATTCTGATTTATAATTAAATAATGATTCAGAAGTTGAAGTGTCGAAGGGCGAGAGGGGGCATGATTAAGTAGGCTGAAGAGGGATGAAGGGGCGAACGAATGATGGACCGCATAGCCGTGGTAACCAAGGAATTTTAGGGACTTTCCACCAGCACCATCGCCATAGATTTGAAAGCATTTAAGCGCGTTCGCCGCGGATACGACGTGCCAGCTGGATGTCCTTGGGCATGATGGTTACGCGTTTGGCATGGATGGCGCAGAGGTTCGTGTCCTCGAAGAGGCCGACGAGGTAAGCCTCGCTCGCCTCCTGGAGGGCCATCACCGCCGAGCTCTGGAAACGCAGGTCGGTTTGTGAAATTCTGAAGCACTGCCAAAATAAAGTGTATCCTTATTGAAAAAAAACGAGCTGAAGAATTTGTGGTCGATTGCACGAACTTTTGAGCGATGCACATCGGTCGGCCATTTGTCCACACCATCATAGTGAAACTAAGAAGGAGACGAAATAAAACTGGAAGTAACGAATACATTTCCGAATGCGTTTCCACGAACGTTTAACAATAATCTATCCTTAGTTCGCCGAAACTACATTCTACATCGTTGATTTTTTATTTATCCGTCAAATGTAACCGGACAAAAGCATACGATAGCGTCGGATAATGTCGACTCAATATTTCTACCGTTTTCATTACATTGGATGAATTTGTTCAAATTGCTTAAAGTATAATAAGCCATGATCCGTAGGACATGTATGTATATTTGTTTTTTTTCCCCGATGCAAATTGTTGATTTGCACAGTGCAGAATTTCGTTAAAATTTAAATTTAAGTAAACAGCCGTCAATATTATTACATCAATATTACAATTGTTTATTAAAAAAATCAATTTTTATGCCAATAAAATTACTTTACACGGTCTTTCTCTTTGTTCTTTCGCTTTTATTCATCGTCGAATTACCGTCCAAGTAACTATAAATAACGAAGTCACCTATTTAATTTAACATATCCAGAGAATTTTCAAAATTTCTTTAACCATGTAATAATTAGCATTTAAGATGATGATGATGAATATATGAAAACGTTTATCCCACAACAAATTCCGTAAAAATATGCAACCGATAGTGAGATATATATCTCATGCCCGTGATATTTATTGAATAAATATTATTACAGGATTGGGCAATGAAATATTTATGTAAGTACAGATATACATTGATTTTGTTATAAGGTATTTTAAATAAAATACGACGTAAATCATAATTAAATAATTCTACTACTATTTGTCTAAATATTGTTTGAGCAAACGAGCAGTAATGAATCTATGAATTTTTCCGTTATTTTTCCAGCAAAGTTAATAACAATTTGTAATTAATTTTCTTTTTACATAAACAAGTATATACATTGTCGATAGAGGCGTTTGTCGTATTATTTTTTTAAATAAATTTACCATAACCTTATGTTAAATGCATTATTTTTCATTTTATAATTAATAAACGGATCAGTTTCCAAATAAAAGTAAATGAGAGGAAAAAGTTAAGCGCAATTACATTTATAGAATAAACTAGAAATGAGAATTTAGCTTGAATCTCCTCTAACTCAATCGATGGAATAAACGTTATTTCGGCGAAAATTTTAGAATTACTGATGTTTTTGTAAAATTCAGTCGAAACGAGCCCTTAGACGCACCTTGTTAATCAAAATTCTTGATTCATTCCTTATCATAACAAAAACAAAAAAAATACGTATCAATTTCATTTATATTCTGAAAAATAAATGCATATCAAGTTTAACGCATACGTAACCACGATGTTACATACTATTAGAAAAAATATAAGGTAATACATGTATCCTAATGTCATTTGTTAAAACGGAAATACATATATTTATTTAGGTAATTATTTTTCAGATTTCATTAATAAATTCGCGAATCGATATTCTTTCTGATAAAAAAAAATAGTTAAAATCAATTCGAATTTGACGCAACATTCATTTATTTCAAATCTGCAAAAATATTTTAAAATATGTTTGAAACTTGAGACAAAGGTACTCGGTGAATATTTATTTAATTTGTTCAGAATATCTTGTAAAAAAATTGTTTTTATCAAGAACACGTAGGCAAATTAATTTTTATATGAAATAGCGATTCGTTCGTTAAGAGGATATTTGGTGGCCCTGAAAAGGGCCGATTGTGTCTTTCGAGGAGATCCAGAAGATGTGATGGGATTAACCGCCAAAACCATAGAGAGTGCGTCCTTGTCTCTTGAGAGCGTAGACGACGTCCATGGCAGTGACCGTCTTCCTCTTGGCGTGTTCGGTGTAGGTGACGGCGTCACGAATGACGTTCTCAAGGAAGACCTTGAGCACACCACGCGTCTCCTCGTAGATGAGACCGGAGATACGTTTCACTCCTCCACGTCGAGCGAGACGGCGAATGGCGGGCTTCGTGATACCCTGGATGTTGTCTCGCAATACCTTGCGATGCCGTTTAGCTCCTCCCTTTCCCAATCCCTTTCCTCCCTTTCCACGTCCGGTCATGTTGGATATTCGTGCGGTAACGTCCGAAAGCAATGAGAAACGTCGGTTAATTCTAGCTGATTTGGCGATGCGAGCGCCTTTTATAGTCCCGGCTGCGGCCGAACCCCCACTCGTCCACCCCGAAGCGCCGAATGTATCACGTGACCTGGCTATTCGATATATATATATAAGGGGAGAGTCGCTACGGTACAGACACTTTCGCCCGTAGCATCGATCGTCCATTCGTTTCTTTGTTGCTTTGCAGAAGTTTTTTCCTTGTTGGAGAGAAATGGCTCGTACCAAGCAAACAGCCCGTAAGTCCACCGGAGGCAAGGCCCCGAGGAAGCAGTTGGCGACCAAGGCCGCGAGGAAAAGCGCCCCGGCCACCGGTGGAGTGAAGAAACCTCACCGCTACCGTCCGGGAACCGTCGCCCTCCGTGAAATCCGTCGCTACCAAAAGAGCACGGAGCTCCTCATCCGCAAACTGCCCTTCCAGCGTCTCGTCCGTGAGATCGCCCAGGACTTCAAGACCGACCTGCGTTTCCAAAGCTCGGCGGTGATGGCCCTCCAGGAGGCGAGCGAGGCCTACCTCGTCGGCCTCTTCGAGGACACGAACCTCTGCGCCATCCACGCCAAACGCGTAACCATCATGCCCAAGGACATCCAGCTGGCACGTCGTATCCGCGGCGAGCGCGCTTAAATGCTTTCAAATCTATGGCGATGGTGCTGGTGGAAAGTCCCTAAAATTCCTTGGTTACCACGGCTATGCGGTCCATCATTCGTTCGCCCCTTCATCCCCCTTCAGCCTACTTAATCATCCTCTACCACCCATCTGCACGATCATCGTCGACAACCAACCGGCCCTTTTCAGGGCCAACAATGTATTTTTCAATAAGGAACATCATTATTTCGTCTTTTACTATAATAAATATTCAGTAAATTTATTTCACTATTCCAATAATAAAATCTTTGGTAAATTACAAGCATTTTTTATTTCTATCCCCGGTAACGGTTTTTGTAAATTTATCACACAAACTGTTATCAAATTACTTTTTTAATAAGTATATTTACATTTTTCAAGCTCATTTAGTTACGTAGACTCGTTATATATTTGTAATTCATACGTTCAATATTAGAATTGTATTATTTCATATAACAATTTTTTTTTGAATTTTGTTATATTTATTAATTAAACAAAATATTCTAATGGTTTGCATTAGATGTATTTAAGTAAACTTTTATACATTTAGAATTAAATCGTATAATATACTCGGTGAAAGGTTTTTATTTCAACATTAAGAATTTAAGTGTTTATGAATTTTGTCTATTTTATAATTTTTCTACAATCATTTAAATTGCCTTTTTTTCTATTGAGATGGAGAATTTTCTCTTTCTTTTTTATTACAAATTTGAAAGTATGAAATGACATTTCTAATTAATTTAAATGGTAATTATGTACCCTTTTTTGCATTAAATTCAGGCGCTACGGTTGAACAACACAAATTTCTGAAGTAGCAAGTTTCTAAAGTGTACAATTTTTAAATAAAATGTTTTTTTGTCATGAATTATTGATTTACAGTTGTGTAAATCTATTTCTAATAAATGTATATATGTATATACATATTTATTTTTTTTTTAATGCCGCAACGAAGTAACATTTTTAAAGTAGTATGGAATAATTATTGAAATAATAATTTATCATATTAGGATTATCGATTTCACTTTTTAATTTGCAAATATTTTATGCAATTCTGTTTACGTATGTTAAATGTTTATGCTATCTATTTCATTATATTGCAATGAAAAATAGTAAAGAAAATTTGTATGTATTATCGATAATATAAAGGGGATAAATTAAATCGATGATCCATCGATTGTACCACATTGTGTGTATTCGATATAAATAGGTTGCGCAATAAAACGAAATATATTTAAAATTAATAGAAATATGTATTGGGTAATTTTGATTTTGTATGTAAGGTATGTAAGTATTTATGGATTCGTATTAATTAGTCGTTAAATAAAATTAATCTATTCTTGAACGTTTTTAAATAATTGTTGGCCCTGAAAAGGGCCGATAAGTATAAACAGTAATTCATGGTCTTGCATAACTGGCGATTTACGCCTTTTTTTCGGTCTTCTTGGGCAGGAGAACGGCCTGGATGTTGGGCAGTACTCCACCCTGGGCGATGGTCACTCCCGAGAGCAATTTGTTGAGCTCCTCGTCATTGCGGATGGCCAGCTGGAGGTGACGGGGAATGATACGGGTCTTTTTGTTGTCCCGGGCGGCATTGCCTGCCAACTCGAGGACCTCAGCCGCAAGGTATTCCATGACGGCTGCGAGGTAGACCGGAGCACCGGCACCAACGCGCTCGGCGTAATTGCCCTTGCGGAGGAGACGGTGAATACGTCCTACGGGGAATTGGAGTCCGGCCCTGTTGGAACGGGTCTTTGACTTTCCCTTGACCTTACCACCACCTTTACCGCGTCCAGACATGCTTTTTGAATGTTTTCAAGAAATGAAACTGCTGAGTCTCCTGGAACCGAACTACAGTATCGTATAGTACATGGATACTCTTTTATACCTTTAGTTTGATTCGGCCGCGACAATAGTGAAGAGTAGATGCAGCGAATGGAGGAAGAGTGGGAAAATGTTTCGACTATTGCAGCGGCGCAGCTGGGCGTCTGACGTTATAAAAGGGCGTCGGAGGGCGAATGGACGAATTTGAAAATGGCACCCAAAGCGAGCGGTAAGGCAGTGAAGAAGTCGGGCAAGGCCCAGAAGAACATCACCAAGGGCGACAAGAAGAACAGAAAGAAGCGCAGGAAGGAGAGCTACGCAATCTACATCTACAAGGTGCTGAAGCAGGTACACCCGGACACTGGTGTGTCGAGCAAAGCCATGAGCATTATGAACAGCTTCGTGAACGACATCTTCGAGCGTATCGCCGCCGAGGCTTCGCGTCTCGCTCATTACAACAAACGCTCGACCATCACGTCCCGGGAGATCCAGACGGCCGTGAGGCTGCTGCTTCCCGGTGAGCTGGCCAAGCACGCCGTCAGCGAGGGCACCAAAGCCGTCACCAAGTACACCAGCTCGAAGTAAATTTTTCTTTTGGCGAGTCCCGCAGCACCGGACAGCAAAAACAAATATACAAACATCATCGGCCCTTTTCAGGGCCACCAAGCATCTCATTAACGTGTGTGTACATTCGCTATTTTGTTTCATTACAAAATTCATCCATGTATCACCTTAAATTACTGCATTACGTTATTATTAATTGATTAAATGCCAGCTTTCGTAAGGGAATATAATTTATGATTAATTTACAGTGATATAATTATTATTTATACATGGAATAATGTAAAAGATATGCTCAGTTGTTCCCTAAGTTGAAAATCCTTGAAGTCCAAAAATTAACTTTAAATTGATCATACTAGATGCATAAATTTCTAATTATATTAAATCAACTACCAAATATTTATTATTATATTTACAAATATTTGACGTTGAATGAAATGCTGTGTACAGTGTTTAAAATTTTTGTATGAAACCATAAATATATAATTGTATAATAATAAATAAAAAAAAAAATTTAGATTATTCGATCAGAGTATTTCAAAAGTACATAATTTATTATTAGAAAAAAAGTAATATAAATTAGTTGTAAATGCAATAACACTTGTTTTTTTTTTTTAATATTGTTCATGTAAATGAAAACCTTGGATATTCTTTTTTATTTGAAGGTGAATAAGACTAGGAGCTTAATTAGAATATAATTAATAATTTTTTTGTCAAACGAAAATTCGTTTGGGAATAATAATTTTTTTTCCGAATTATAATTTAAAGCAATAAAATAAGAAATAATAAAGATATGTCAATCGGCTATTATGCAGTCTATGTTTAAAATGCATTTTATTTACGGTCCATTGATCCATTCCGAATGTAATATTGATTTAAGATTAAAATTATTTAATCGTTTAAATTATATGGAAAACATATTTAGTGTATACATTAGCATCTGGCAAATGATATTTTATTCAATAAGCGAATAAAATGTCGCGTGATAAAAAAAATAATTCTATTAGTACCTTGATTTATCTAAATTGTATAAATAAATATCCGAAAATCGTATTGAAAATTTTATTTAAAACGTATGAAGTATAATAAAAAAAGTAAAAATGGCAGGCTTTAAAAATGCAATTATAATTGAATAAATTATAATTGAAGTGTAATTGTTTTTCTTTTTCTATACATTCCCTCCAAATTTTGTTAATTGTACGTGCCGATTGTTATTTATGTTACCGCTGCCATTTGTATTTATAATTTATTGAAAGTCGTCATTATATTCATTTAACTATTTTATTTTCTTTATTATTATTATTTTTTGCATATTCTAAGATCATTCGGTTTATTTTTTTCCCTAAATAATTTCTTATATTATTGCTTCATCTACTTTGTTTTTGCAGAGTAAGAATTATTTTATACAAGTCTTCACACTTACGAATATTATCTATTTCATAATATTGCATTGCCTGTTTATCATCAATTTAATGAAATTCATCATTGTTTTATATTTCATATTGTTTTATATTGTTTTACATCGTATGAAATGTTTGATATACAGAAGTGACATAAGCTTTTTCGATGATATTTAAATTCCATTTAAATTGCAATTGAGTTTTTGAGTTCGCGGGGTTCGAGGAGAAATGGCAGGTGATTACTAGATAGTTTTGAAATTTGTAAGATTGATGAAAATCAGAAAAACATAAGATACTGTTTGAAACATTGGGATATTTTTTAAAAATGTACTTGCATCGAAGAAAAATATTTTAAAAACTGTTTTAAAATACTCAAGCGGTTTTAAAAAATACAGAAGAATCTATAAACGATAGTTTTTTTTTTTTTAGATGAATAACGTATATTTAAGCTCGTGAAAATTAAAATTTCTGTATATGTACGGGAAAAATATTCAAATATTTAATTTAGAAATATGGGTTTTTATAGCGCTTGATAATAGCGATTTAAAGGTGAAATTGTTTTCTATTTTGTCATTATAGGCTGATTCGAATCCATTTTCTAAATTAATGCAAAATTCAATAATAATATTGATATATTAGAAAGTAATCAAATGAAAAATTTAGGTTTCGCTGATTTGAATTTGGAGTGGATAATACGTATAGTTGCTTAATTGTTTATTTCAAGGGTTTGTAAAGTCAGCAATTTTATCATATTTAAATAATTCTTAAGATTATTTAACTTATAAGATAGGTATTGCTATAAAATATATTCACATAAACAAATACTTAATAATATAGCTACATTTAATAGATTTCAATAAGAATAAATTATTTTACGTTTTAATTGATACAATTATCAAGTAAAAATATTGATTATTCAGAATTATGCGTCCATCTATTTATCAGTTAATAAATTGATTTGCATGTAATTATTTTACTTGAATTTATGACGAATTATTCATTAAAAGTAGACAAATAAACAAATGAACGAAGTCGAAGTGCTTATTCCATATCATTGGAATAACACAATAGATAATTATTGATCAATTAGTATAACTCATTGAAAACAATTGATAGTCAATTTCTGATTAAATAGAAGAATCTAAAAGAGCATTTAGCGATAAAAATAGTTTAATAAGCTATAATTTCAAATTAAAAAAAAAAAAAAAACAAAAAAAAACCACTCTTTTATACAGATAATGAAATTGAAATTATCATTTGTATCATTTGTATATATATATATATATATATATATTTTAAAAAATGTATAATCAGCAAACAGGTATTAATTGTGAAATTACGGTTATTCAAGGATTCAATCTTAAGAGTGTGCAAGAAAATCTTGAATCTCAGTGAGGAGTTATTTTTCGACTTTCGTGAGTTATTTGCGTGTGCGAAAAAAAAATAAAAACTCAATTTACTCTGCTATTATGAAGGATCGATGTATTTTTTATTAGAAAATGATTAAGTAATTTATCCCTGAATAGTTGGCTATTATTTTTTTTATTTAAGCCAATAACATATAGCTTTATAATTTTACATAAATACTTGACATTATATAATATTTTATTTTACCTTCTCTATTAATAATATCAATATTATATGAAAAATATTTATTTCTTATATATTTTGACCTGTATCGTTATGAATATTAGGTTAAATTAATGCACATAGAATATGCATAAATATAAATAATAATTGAAAACTTGAAAACAATTATTAACATTAATTTAATTATTTCTTAAATATATCTACAACAAAACATATTTCTTTAATATTAAAATCTTATTCCATTGAATTATTTAAAGGAAAAATGTAGTCCAGTTTAGGTTTTATAAAATGTAGCATTGCTCCAAAAAATTGTACTAAAAAAATAATATCCATAACAAAATTAATTCATACACTACATTTCAATTTGATTTAAATTTTTACACTTTAAAGAACAAAAAATAATAGTTTAATAATACATTTTTATTTGTCAACTTCTATTATATACAAAATTTTATAAACGTTTTTATACTTAAATAAGTTACATTCTATATTATTTACATGGTCTATCGAGATTGTCTTCATCCTTGCACTTGCCGCAACAAAATTCATTTTGTTTCTGTATTTCACTAGGTTTATGATTTGGAGTCCATGGACCTAAGCTTATATTAGCATAATAATCCATAGGGTAAGGTTTATGTTCATCTAATTCTGTCATTTGTAATGCCACTGCTGCTTCGTAAGGTGTTAAGAGTGGCTTTTCAAACTGCGTACCCCAATCTATACTCAATCTTGGACATGCGATCTGAATGTAATAATATAAATATTTATAAATTTGTTGCGAATAATAGATTTTAGGTAGAAATTTATACAATAAAATAGTATAAAGTTCTTATTTAAATTAACTTCTATAAAGTTGTAGTACGTACTTGTATGAATGCATCTATGCCAATAAAAAGTTTTAATCTTTCAGGGGTAATTTCAGAAGCTAAAATGGTAATGTATTGTTTGTTCAATAATTTTAATCTATTCTCTATATTCTTTAAAACAGTCGGACTTCCTTGTCTTCCAAGAGTTCCAAATATAAGTCCAAATATTTTCGCATCTTTCGCTTTCAGGATTGCATTTTTTCTGTTTTTTAACATTTGTTCATGATTATACTTTTCTATTGTTATTTTCTTCTCATAAGGGTCGTAACGATAAGCAGCCAAATGAGGATTTGAAATCATAGCTGCTTCTAAGTGAAATCTACCATCTCCAACGTATACAAGAACGTCGATATCTTTTATTTGAGGAGCAGTACAGCCCAAAATCTGAAACAAATAGTTCCATCGGTTCACAAATACATTGAAAATGTATTGATATTATTTAAACGTTGTTAAGAATAATGATTAACTTCCTAATAATATATTTAAATACCTCTCCAGGACTAAGTGGTTTACTTTGGGGAATCGTGACACTATATCCATCCTTTCTCAACTCAGTTGCGACAGGCTGTAAAGTACTGGCAAATTGAATCGTACTAACTAGACCCAATCGAGTTGTAGGAGGAAAATTTAATTTTATTGTTTCGATACAATGAACTGTATCGATTTTGATGTCGACGAAAATATATAATAATTTAATGCCGCTTGTTCTATCAATTGGAATTAAGCATGAATGGCCGTAGTGAATCAATAAATCTACACCTAATGCTTTTGCACTGCAGTCGTCTACGCAACAGGCACCTGAAAAGAAATTAAAATTAATTTCAAATTAAATTAAAGACACAATTGTTTTCTCAATGATAATAAAGAAATAGTAAATTTTTTCTTAAATTTTAATTATTAATGCTTAAGTAAAGTACGACCGCTTCATACATAATTATTCATTAATACAATTAATCCTAATTATTAACAATTATATCTCTTAATTATAAATATAACTCTATATTGACTATGTGAATATTTACCATAAGTGACGTCTCCCATTATAATAGTGTCAGCCTTTGTGAACATTTCTATTATATCACATATTTGAAGCGCAAATAATAGCAAACCTTCTGGCATCTGTAAAGCAACTTTTTTTGCTTTGGTTTCTCTTATTCGCCAAATAGTCTTATGAATTTCAAAGTTATAATTGAGGGGCAATCCGGCCATGGCTTCTTTAATTAATGGGTCATTTAATATTTCCTGAGGGATTTTATTGACCCTAATAGGAGCTTTGAAAATTTTTCTTACTGGCTTTGCTTTTACAACGACAACCGAGTCTTCTTCCTTTACCTCGGCTTGGTTTAAACTATTAATACCGATCTCAACTTTTTTATCCACTTTATTGATCTCTGAGCTAAAAGTAATTTGAGTATCCTTATTTTGTTTTGATCCTTCTGTATCACCATTGTCTTCTTCCTTATTCTGTACATCTAATTTACCAACGCTTCCTGAAACTCCACTTTCATTCATCATTCAATAAACCTCAAACAAATAGGATATAAAAATAGTTCTAGGTTAGAATCCGGTACGTTCCTGGTAATTAACTAATTAAATATATTAGCTTTAACAATTCTACAGATACTCTTTATTTAGGATATATTCGGGGCCAATTCGTAATGGTATAAGAATAAATAAATAAATAAATAAATAAAAAAAAAATGGATTTAATTTAAAACGAAGTAAAAAATAAATATAAAAGGTCCCACCGAGATTTGAACTCGGATCGCTGGATTCAAAGTCCAGAGTGCTAACCATTACACCATGGGACCACTTATTTTTCGATTATTTCAATTTTCACTATTTATCAGTCGTACATTTAGATTAAAATTTCAAACAATTAAAATTGCTAAAAATGCTTCTTTTTAACCTAAGACAATTAATGACAATTATTATGACGAAAATAAATCTTTATAATATTTCATTTAACCAAGGAATATATGATGTTGGCTTCTAGATCGGTGCAGCCATCACTCCATTGGATTAGAGCACGTACACCAAATATCGTTTATAATATTTTTTTATTTTTATTTTCATACTATCTGCTTGTCGACTGTAAAGTCGGTCGTAGAAGTAAAATTAGTTTGTACAGTAATTTTATACAGTACGTCGATTATAAATAATAATAATATAAATGTGCGTCTTAATCGATCGTTATTCACGCTTCAACGAGTTCACCATAGAACTTGGCCATGTTATTTTGTCAGAATATATTATATTTATTTAACAATTTCTCATTGAAATATAAAAATATAAAATAAAAATGATTGCAATTGAAATTTCTATTATTATTTGTACTGTGTATTGTACTATTATGAATCGGCAAAAAATGTATAATATTCATGTTATTAAAGAAACGATAATTTTTAAAATTTAGAATGTTTGTTCGTTACACAGACTAATAATAAAAATAAACAAATAATATAATAGAGTCAAAAGGAAAGTAGATATTTCTTTTTATAATTTATATATTTTAAATTTATATTAATATGCATTATTGAATAAATTATACCAAATATTATTATATAATGATGGGAAATTATTTTGTAGCACATTAAAAATTCAATTTATCATAAAAACTTATATTCATGATATTTACGTACGTGTCTATACATGCATTCCTTATATTTTCTCTTTACAGCTGTTAGATAATATTTTTAATTATATTTCTTAGAAAACATTACAATATACATTTTACAAAAATAACACGAATTAAATTATGTATTTTTTCATTAAAAAAAAAAAAAAAAAAAAAAAAAAAAAAATTAAAAAAAAAAAAAAAAAAAAAAAAAAGCAACATTAACAATAAATAAAAGTTAATAAAAAAGTTTTAATGCTAATTTGTCGGTAATTATATTTAAATTTTGTTTAATTTTGAAATTACAATTTAATATTTTTACAAATTTTATAAAAACGTTCTTAATAAATTAAAATGCAAAATATAATTAATTTAACAATCGTAACTTTTCATTATAATTAAAAAATTACATGACCGATGATTATATCGTATTGTTACAATATATCATAGCCTTATAGAAATGCCAATAAAAAATTTTATTAATAAACCTGTACAAATTTGTATTATGCGAACGGAAAAATGTGTAGAAATGATACATTATCTAAGCTTATGTATTATTTAATGGATCTGTTAAATGGTAAGAAGTAAGGAAATGAAAAAGTTTAGTAGAAAGTAACAATGATTTAATGATATATATATATATATATATATATATATATAAATATAAATACACGTAGTGACATTACAATATAATGATTACGCGTGTTTGCTACGCTGAACTGTCGTGACTTTAAATGTATTTTCATGCAAATATCGCAAGTTATTTTATCTTTCCTTTTCCTTATTTCTTTATTTTATTTTACAGTAGGAAAGCAATTTTACCGCATCACTTAACTTATATGAGCTATGCCGAATAGCGCTAATTTTTCGATAATATCGATCGCCGTCAATGGTGCGACCTCTTTTTGTTATTAATAATGAAAAGTAAGACAAGAGCCATCGATTTTTATTATACGAACAGTAGTGTGCAGCTTGTCGTTAAAAACCAAAACTGATAACATTTAATTTTCGTATAATTTTTTATCCTTCTTGAAAAATAGGTGTATCGGCATTATTAGTAATTTGAGAATGCATGTAAAAATATAGAGGAGACATATATAAATAAACATATTGTTTTTCTAATAGATACTTGTAAATTTTAACAATTTACCTTCATTCATTAATATTCATTTTAGAAATTGTCTTTTCTTTTACCTAATTGAGCAGAAACGATTCTCTACTATCGTACTATGTTTGCTACATTAAGATTAAATAAATTAACGAACAAGGTTAATGCTAAAAATTGACAGATTGAACGCTCTCTACAAGCAAGATAAATGTTATTTTTAAGAAAAATGCTTTTTTCATGATTGTTTATGCTTTGTCGAAAGTACCGTTCGATACACTGAAAGTTCAGGAACGTCTAATTTTATTGTTATGTCGATAATAACCGATGAGCGCCCTTCGGTATTATTTCGCTAGACCACTATATTTTATTTTGCAAATATTAGGCTAATTTACATCTTAAAAAACGTTTTAAAAAATGACTCAAACGATGAGCCATAAAGCGATCGTTTACTTACAATACACAATAATCTGTATTCACTTATAATCTACGTGTTATATACATTAGTTTCTTTTTATAGTTTTTCTTTACAATAAAATGTCGAAATACAATAACAAGGGTGATAAAACACAACAAGGGCAAGTACACAAATATATATATATATATATATCATGTATAAGGTATGCACAATAGTAACATGCTTACATGAAGTGCGAAACATAGTATGTATGTACGATAAAATTTTGAATGACTCTCGAAAGTCGAGGTACAAAACAAATAACAACGACTTTATTTTAATATTCGATATTTCATTCGCTAGACATTAATAACGAGAAATGGAAGGGAGGAATAATCACGTTTTGCATTCTCGTTTAGTTTTATATGTTTCGGCGATATACGTCTTTATTCTTCGTTTTATTTTAACATAGCGGATGAGCTATTACGATCTTAGAGGCACATATATAAAACTCCTCAGGGGTCTTTCGTTCTCTTATTTTTCTTTTTCATCATCTTCTTCTAATTTTTATTATTTTAATTTTATTATTTTATTTATTTATTTTCTTTTTTTTTTCTTTTTTGTTTTACAAAGTAATGGTCGAAAGCAAATCTATGCTATTTTATAACACATTAAGTGCTAATAATATGAATACATTACGTCCTATATGATGACCTCAATTTAAATAGTTAAATAATCAAACTTGTTAAATATGAATCGTCCAGGAGTCGAGAGTATTGAGAAGAGGGTGCACGAGTTCTTTTCTCCCACCCCCACCCATCGCTCCGTCATTCGTCACTAGTGAGTCACGAGCATTTAATAACTCCATTTCGATTTAAAATCAAGGTACGACTCATACCCAAATAAACAGTTAGCGAAGAATCGATCGAAACCGCAAGGTAACTTAAGACCACCGCGACTGACATTCGAACGTATTACCGAGCCGCGTAAACTGCAAGAACATTTTGCACACGAGTCATGAATGAAATTCTAGCATGTTACGCGATGTTTGATACACCTGGATTTTGTGTATTTGACATGATAAATAAACGTCGCGTCGGTTCATTTATTTCCAAGTGTAGCTGACCTTGGCGTGAGATTTACGTAATCAATATCAGACCAATCGATTAATTAATTCGCAAACAGCGCGCTACAATTGGCAGTTCCTACATTACTGTGTTGTACTCGCATTAACGGCGTATGCACATAACTGGAATCGAGTCTGCTCGTAAATCATCCCTATAAAAAGGGATATCGATTATCAATTGTCGATTCAATAAAAGCTCCTATTATAATACAAATCGAATTTCATCCGGTTATAATTCTTACACTCCAGATTGCGAAATCAGGGCGAAAAATGTCCAAATATTGTTCGATGACTACTTTATCAATATATGCATTGTTTTCGTTGCAATCGACTCACGTTATAATTTTGTTTAAAACAAAAAACAACGTGGATCTTGTTTACAATTAATCTTTAGTCTATTATCGATTGTTCGGAAGTAAAGAACAACGAGGGCGACTTTTAATCAAAATTATGAATCGTACATTTAAATACCAACAACTGGACGAATCGATCGAGCAGGACGCTAGTATCGATAAAATTAGCAGACTAGCATCAGCTTAGATACGATCCCTTGGTCGACTAGCATTGGTGCACTTGCCCTACTACAATTCATCGAGCATCAGTCCCTACTGAATAATAGCGGGTAATGCTTGTGTTTTCCGTTAACTAAAACGACCATCTGGTCGCTTATATGCTGTATTTATAATAAAAAAATTAATGAATTAAATTAATAAGGAGTATGACTCGAGGATCCGCCTCGCTTTGAAAAGGAGTTGAATCAAAAGTTCGTCGTACGACGCTGCAATAAGCCGAGTGGCACAATGACAAAATACAAAAGCAGAAGATAACAGGAATTCCAGACCTTATTGTCATTGGTAAATCTTCTCTTGGCCCTTCTCGATCTCCTCTTACGACCGATAAGCGCAATTGCATCGCGTCGTACTACCGAGTAGTTTTGCGGGATGGGGGATGGGGGATGGGGGAGGGGGGGGATCCAAAGAGGGGCTTGGGAGCTCAGTCGAGGCAAGTTTTGGGAGTAAAAAAGGCGCATCCATCGCTTTTCCGCCGTTCGCTAGTGTCCACCGTGGCACGATAAATAAACGAAACGGCGGAGGACGTGCCACGCGCTCAATGAGAGAGGTTCGCCATCCTTATTCTCACCTCCGTCGATAATAAGAGAAAGGCGAATGAGGCCTTGCGACGGCTCCTTCGATGTGGCGCTTTGTAGACTAGAAAAAAATCATTATAGCGTGTATGTACATGCGTGTAGCCGTTGTCTCGAGTAGCGCGGGTTATTTGTGCGACGGGCACGGAGGAGCGAACAGTGGCGCCGGGCGTGTACCACTTGCCCCGCGAAATCTTCTCGTTTCCAAGCGTAATAAAGCCTCTTTCCAAAATCAAGAGGACGTTCCAACGGGAGATTTTGCATAGTTCACAGGTATCGCATACGCAATCGTCTTTGTCTTCCTCCTCGTCTTCGTCCTCGTTCTCGTTCTTTTCCTCTTCCGTTTCCTCCTCGTCATCGTCACTCTGAAAAATGACGCGCCGGTAATCCGCCAAGGGACCGGTGCAATGTCAAAAGACGCAGGCGCAGTCGTCGGAGATCCTGGCCTACCTCGCCCTCTTCCGGTTTAGCTTGGCGAGCTTGCGTCGCTTGAGAATTAGTTGGTAGAGACTATCCAGACCCTCGTGCAGACCCTCGCCGGTAATAGCACATGCTGGCTGCACCCGGACGCACGAGCTTCCCGAGGATGACGATAGCTCCAGAACGCCAAGCTGCTTCTCCAACTCGTCCACTTCCTTGGCGCCTATAAACAACCAATCTCTTATTGTCTCCCCCTTTCACTTTCGCCATTTCTTTCCTTCTTTCTTCCCCTTTATCTTTTTACACGCTCTATCGCGCCGATGTCAAATTTATACGATCGAGAATGTAGTCGAAATGGCTAAAGTCGATATTCTATTGTAAAAATCAACGCGATGGCCTTTAATGGGAGCGCCCGTCACGCTTTATGCTCTCTAAATTAAAAGCTTTGACTATTGACATTAGCATAACGGTATTATTAAAATAATTTCAATAAGCAATGGCGCGGGATGTCGGAGTTATATTTCCAATTATGCTATCCTTTATAGTATAAAAATTTGTAAACGTATTTTATGTCGGCGTAGATAAAATTGTCATATCATTTTATTTACAGTATATTACGATATTATGATAGTAAATATGTAAAATATCAGCTATAATTTTATAGTAATTGAAAGGCGAAAATGTTAAATAAATAATTTTGAATAACTTAATGATCCATTAAATAATGGTCATTACAATTGCCTAATTGTATTTTAAGAATACGAGAACAATTTTTTTTTTTTTTCTTAAATAAACTAATTTTAGATAATATAAATTATCTATGTATTCATTGTTAAAAAATGTAAAATTCAGTCGAGTGCTAACACATGAAAAGGTTATATTGAAACAATTTCTGTAGGAAATATAATTATTTTTTATTATTATAAATTTTAATAATTACCTTAAATAATAGTAAATTTAATCTCTTATGTACGATATTCTACGCCTTTTAATTGACTATTTTAAATATGTATTAACATTAATCTACTTTTAAGTTATAATTTTCGATTCTTGACCGTACGTCATAATTTAAAGATTTTTTTTTTTTCATTCGATAGTTAATAATTTATGAATACTATTAATAAGTCTGAAGATTGTGGGTGCTTTTTTTCTTCAACACATATTAACTAGTTGAATTTAGGATGTACTCTCGTGAAACTTTCAACTCTACTCAGCTTATAATCATAATTATATACTTTCACATTCTAAATTGATATATTTAAATGTGCTGTTATATATGATAATTAAAGACACCCTAAGGTATTCTATATTAACTTTTTTGGTTAAATTGACTAAGAAAGTATTGTCTTGATGGATAATAAGATTTGTCAAACTTTAAAAAGTTGAATGAGCGTATAATGATACATAATACGAAATGTATAATATATCAGTTACTTCGACGCACTTTAATTATACATCGAGATATTTAGTTTGAAAACTTCAAACTCACAGTTTTAAAATATTTTAATAGCAATTAATTTAATGTATGCGTAAATAAAAAATTATCATTTTAAATAAGGCGAATAAAAAATCGAAATTTACTTAATAAATTTTTAATTAATTTTTGAGGTAAACTATTGTTAAAACTTTTTCGTTTTCATATTACCGCACTGTATTTAAAGAAAAATTGCAAATTTACAATAGTCGAAGTTTGTTTAAATATTGAATTTATTAAAATTGTACTTATGAAAGTGAGATGAATCTTTAAAATAAACTTTCATTTTATTTTCATGTATCTATAATTATTTTATAAATATATCTATACACTTCTCCAATAAATTAATATAATTTATTTATATTTATATACAATCACTTTTATCATAATAATCACTTAGATGAATTTATTTTTAATTATTCGTATATCTACTCAATAACATAAAAGTTATTAATCAAAAGAATTCCGTTCTTGAAAGTATTGTATAAAAAGCCATAAATCTATTAAAATGTTGTAGATAATATCTTATCTAGAACAAATTACTCATTCAATCGATTAAACAATGAAGAATATGTGTACATTTATTGTTTTAAAAAATCTAACGCAGAACTATTAATAACAATGAGCTTTGTAGAAAATTCATGAGATATACAATATGCAAATTTTAAGTTTGTCATTAAAAATAATTAGAAATTCATGCTAAATATGTTTTACCGTTTAAAGTTTTTATACGTAGCTGTGACACACAAAGCATCAGAAATATAAAGAAGACGATAAGTTTAGTTGCACGTAGGTAATTTTAACATCCTCGAAAAGCGCTTGATAGCTAACAGTTTTACACTCAACTATCAACAGTAGTCACCGTTACAAGTTCTACTGACTTCAAAAAAGTCATTAAAGTATCTTCTATGACTGCCATAAACGCGTATTATCCATAACATACGAATCCCATGAAATGTGTTTACGCGCGCATGACAAAATAGAGAAAACAAAAAGTGTCACGGTCGTATGAATTGATATTTGAGCGAGTAGTGCGTTGCATCCGAGCCTCGCCCATCAATAAATCAGCTCCCTAGTACATATACAATCGACCCACATCAGAAGTACCACTTTCAGATTCCATTTACTATAAGGATGAGAGTTTTTCCCATCGATATCGCATCGCTGCTTGACAAAAGCTGCGCACGATTGTAAGGGACTCACCCGGTAGATCCTGTTTGTTGGCGAGTATGAGTATGGGAACACCCGCATTATCGGGACTCCTCGCCGTCCTTGTCAATTCCATTTTAGCTTCCTCGAGCCTTTCCGTGTCGCAGGAGTCTACAACGAATATGATGCCGTCGGTACATCTTGTGTATGACTTCCAAAGTGGTCGAAGCTTTTCCTGTCCGCCCACGTCCCAAACTAGGAAGTTAACTCCTGAAAATATATTTGTTTCATTAGCCTAAAACCTGGAGTATTAATATATTCATTTTATTTATTAATTTTTTTTATCAATAATTTACAATTTCATTTTCATTAAGGTGATTCTGATTTTTTTAATGCTTAAAAATAATCTATTGTCTTAGTCCACGTATTTTAATATCTTTCATCGAATAAATAATCAACATTTTAGGAAATATCTTATTAGCCGAAAAATATGAAAAACAAATCATTGAAACTGTAAGAGATAAGACGATTAGAATCTATGTTGTCTGGTAAAGTTTTGAAAATCGTATATTACAGTCTTTCAGTATATTTAGCAGTATATTTTTCAGTATATAAGCTTATTTAAGAGCTTATAACATTTTAACATTGAAAAGTTAAGAAGTAACTTGTAAATTCAAAAGAGCTTATAAAAATATGTAATCGTTAACAGTTTACATTAATTCGATTATTTATTTAGTCATTATTTAAGCACAAACTTTTTCATTAAGTACAATGAAGAATAGACATAGGCAGTAAATTAGTAAACGTTCGAATTTATAAGTTATGAAAAAATATTAGAATAACGTTAACAAGATTTATTTTAAAAACAGAATAATAATACTAATAATTTTTCCAATAATTATTTATATCGATAATGCCAAATATTTCTGTACTAAATTGTTTAAAACGATTGAATTAAAATCTTTCAACCGATCAATACTAGATATGGATACTCCGTTGTTATTATTATTATTATTATTATTATTATTATTATTATTATTATTATTGTCTATTAAGATTACAAAGACATTTTCAATTTTATCGTAAGAATTTAATATTTAAATTATTACATTTATAATAATCTATATTATAAAACTCTCTGCTAAGTTTTCCAATGCCACTAGAATCAGAGTAGGCAAGTTTTAATTCTAAGAAATACAAGAAATAGATATCTTGTCAGATTAATCTTCATAAGCAGTAAAATACTGATTCATCTCTTTCGAGGTTATGTCAGACTAATCTTCAGGCTAGTATCTCTGCTCAAGCTGTTCACACTTTTATAAGAACATAATTTTACTGGTAATAAAACATTGATTTCTCGAATATTACTTCGCAGCTTTGGTAAAAATTTAATATTTTAGCTTCAATGTTAAATTTTATTTACAAAATTACAATGATACCACTGTATTTTCCACTTATATATGTAAGGATATATAGAATGAAATTATTTAATATTAATTAAAAATAATTCCGTATTATCCGTAATATTTTAGAATTTTAATTATCTAAATTTCAGTTTGTCGTATTTAATATTAACCTTACGATAAAAATAAAGATGAAAAGTTTTGCATTTGCATTCAGTGTAATATAAATAAATTTTCAAGTTGGTACATGTTGGCGTAAAACATACCGAGCTATCGTTTAATAAAAAATAAAAGTTTAATTCAAGCTTGGCGCGATTATTTATTTAAAATTTACGCGTTAAGCTACGAATTTGTTTTAGTGGGCCAAACAGTATGCCATTTTAATGGTAAACGGAAGGAAGAGAACGGCACGATAAAGGTCAATTCAGCGTACGCTACGTTTTCCCTTAAATACACATTCTAAATTGTAATATTGTAATAGCTAAGAATTTTATGAACAACGCTAAAATTAAAAAATTAGATGAGATTTTTAAGATTCGTGGCTCCATTTCTAAGGCAATCTTTGACATATCAGACTCAACTAAACATGCTGTTACATATGTATTAATATTTAATATAGAATTTTATGTTATTTTTGATTTTCTATGTTACTAAAATAGACCAATTGCATACTTTCCATAAGTTATATTAAAGTGCCTTTTTGGAAGAAGTAACGAGCTTTCAATAAGCTTTTATATATATTTTAACTGCGGCTACTGTACAACAAAGTCTCCCTTCAATTTCTTCTCTTCTAAATATACTCTTTTCAACTCACAAGTCTCGGAGCATCTGGTGCTTCATTAATATAACGTGTTTCAGAAAAAGTATCCGAATGATTATGTTAATCATTGCGCTACTTTTAGATAAAATGATTAATATATTTTTGATAAACTTGTGATATGATAGAGTATTTAAGAAAAAATCAAGTTTTTATATTTACAATAAGTTTATTAATAATAATATCATTCTCTTTTGAAAAATAAGATCATTAAAATTAATTTGAAAATAATGAATTTTGATATAAACCAGTAGAGATGGATCTATGTTAATAGGTTAAAATAAATCAATAGTAGTATTGTCTTGTACTTTGCCTGAAACTACAAGAAGGATGAGCCAGACAATTCCGCTAAATGTTCGAAAATATATTGTTAAACGCTCGTAATCTTCTTTAGAATCCCGTCCATTATGTTAGTTATCAAATTCAAGGTTTAAATAAGTTTTCAACCAAAGCTTATAATTTTCTAACCCATCTACCACGATCTATGCCAGAGTATGTAAATTAAAATTTACGTCCAGCAGCCCTTGCTCTGCTCTTAATAACAGCCTGTGAATTACGTTACAGGGGTACCCTATTTTAAATTAATTTTACCATTTAATGGAAAATTTTTTATTTAATCATAAATCAGGATCAACGCCATAATGAATATTTGCTTTTCAGTTAAGAAACAGTATATGAAATTTTCATGTCTCTGCTTATCAAATTACCGCAATCCATCAAATACCAAGTCCTTTTTATTCGTAAGTACAGTTGCAATTAATATGCAATTGATGTATGTGCTGAATGACTTTAAAGCAATTAATCTATACCGAAAATAGTGTAAAATTAACTGTGTTTCGATTTCGTCCAAGTTCACAAGTTCACAAGAGAAGAAAGACAGGCTGAGCTGCGGGCTGATCCCGGAGCAGCGGCTTTTTTTTCTTCTTTCGACATCAGCGGTTCAAGTACTTCGGCAAAATTATATGAAAAGCGTGAAGACATTAGGCGGAAAAAGGCAATGGCCGATTAACTGTGTAGATCATGGTATTCGTCACCGTATTAAAAACACCATGCATCGCGATGCATATCGTCAGCTTACCTTTGGCCTTGCCAATACCGCCGCGTATCCTCTCGCAGTTGAAACCAATGGTTGGCACAGTATTGATGTATTGGTCGAACTTCAGCCTATACAGGGCCGTTGTTTTACCGGCACTGTCGAGTCCGAGCATCGCTACGTGGAGGGGCGTCCCCGTGGGCAACGACTCCAGGAGACTGCCGCCCCCAGTGCCGCTTCTGCCCATGCCGGCTCCCATCTTATCTGCAAAGCCAAGCTAATGCTTAAGCGTATTGCTGAATTTTGCTGGAGGTAGAGGTAGGTAGTACATGGGCCGTTAATTTCGGGGAGGCCTAACGTTAAAAGCTGGCAGCGATGAGTAATTCCGTAGCCGACCCGACATTGGCTTTATAAACGCTTTTACGAGATCTGCCGATTCCTGCTAGTTTTTCCAATTTTTCCGTTGTATTGTGGGTGGTACGACGTAAATAACCGGTCGGAAATAGGAAACAAAGGATGCTCGTACTGACGTCATGGTCACGGTTCTACTGAATACCTACTTACAATGAAGATTAGGATCGAAACAGAGTTCGAAATTTCTTCCCATACCGAGTTGAATTGAATTATTTGTTAATTATAGGTAATTTTATTGTAGCATGCGTAAAATTTTTATGCTCCGAGGAAGAAAAGGATTTTAATGCAATGAGATGCAATGTTACGATAATTCGATGCTTCAAAGTTGTAGAAACGATAATTTATTAAGCCATAGACCATTGTTATGTTTTAGTTTTTATTCCCCCCCCTCCCCCTCCCCACCCCTCCCCAAAGACATTCATTAATATATCCGATTCATAAAGGCGATCGAATAAAAAGCCAATGTAACGTTAAGCTATACGAATTTAAAAATGATAGCGAAGTATTATTTGGATATGCGACACCGTTAGTGGCGTTATATTACAGCCATGTTATCTTTTTCATAACAAATGTTCGCGGAAACACTTTGCAAACACGTTACGAGCAAAATGTGATTTTGAGAAGCAAAGAAAAACAGTAATGGAAAGGACATTGATTGTAAAAAATATTCCTCGGTCCATCAGATAAGAAAACTATTGTAAATATTGTATGAAGCGAGGTATATATTGTTAACATTTACACTTAATATATTCGAGAATTCGAAAAGTCTTTCTAATGTTATTGTTATTATCCTTGGTAAGTTTATTATGCACATTTCATCAGAATATCAGTGTGCAAATAAATAAAATTAAAATGAATATTCGTAATATGTTAATAGGATAATTATATAAACAAAAGGTCTATTATTCTCCGATTTTATTTTATTATTTATTGTAGGTATTATTATGAGACATTATTTAGGTTCGCGTTTCTCAATTTTTCAGAAGCCAAGCGCATTCTCTCGCCAATAATTCTCATATTCTTTCTAACGATGTTTTTTTTTTCTTCATTACTTTGTAGTTTTTATAATTGCCAGCGAGTATATAACTGAGGGTACAGAAAATGGGAATGAAAAATTTTTCGTTCGACTTAATTAGCTTAAAGGGAATCTTATCGCCTATCTTGATTTACAAGTGCTCAGCCATTCTAGTTTCATGTTTATATATTAAAAGCATTAAACCGGTGTCGGTTGAATACCTCGATCGCGAGTTCGTGCGCCTGTTCCATACCTTGGTTTTGCGGTTTCCCGGCTTTCTCCGCCTCCTCTTCCTCGTGCACCTCCTCGTTGCTCCAAAAGTACCGATAGGTGGACGCAACGGAGATAAACTGTCACAGAGTGCGAGAGTGCGAGAGAGAGAGAGAGAGAGAGAGAGAGAGAGTGAGTGAGTGAGTATGTGTGCTGGCGCGAAAGTGTTGCGTAAGTATGTACGTGGGCGCGTGAGTGTCTCTTTCACGGTGGCTCAGCCGGACGTGGGAATCGTTGATCTCCGGACTTCCATCGGTCGACAAGCTCTTCCGGACACGCCGCTCTCGCCGTCGATCGTCTCACCACCGCACTATCTGCAATTGAAAATCAAACGGGCCCGGTCATTCTCTTTCAAGCTACTCGTTTTTATGATTATTTTCATTTTTATTTTGCATGCCCATTTCTTTTATTTTACCGGGACAAGAGCTTCTTTCATGAAAGTGAATTGGCGCACGACTGCGCGGATGTGGGGTAAAAATAATTATATGGTTGACGAATGTGCCAACTGCTAAGAAGGTATCATTTGCCTTTTTGGGATACGCATAGGAGATAATCCTTTGATGTCATGAAATTTATTGCCTTACCCAATTGGATCTTATTTTCATTGCTTATCGCAAGCTAACAAAAATCACTCATTTTCATTGTCGTTAAGAGAAAATAAAAATTCATGCTCCTTTGTCATGCCACAATCGAGTTTGGCAATAATTCTTTTGAGATAAAAAAATGTCGAGTATTTAATCAAATGAAAACCATTATAGAATGTATAGCTTTAGAAAGGTAAAATTACGAGTAACAATTTTTAAATGCATAAAAACCATGAAATATTGTGTAAAATTTTAAATAAGCGATTAAAACTCAGTAATTTATACACACGATGATTCCTCTCTTTTTTCTTCTTCTTGTTTTTGTTCTTTTTTTGAGAAGAAAATTACAAATAAATATATTTCTTACTTTACGCACTCTTTAAATATACTTATAAAAAATGCATAGATTTATTTTTTAATGTTATTTGTAATGAAAATAAAAATTGTGATGCAATTTTAATACTTAGGCTTTTCTTCTCTCTTTCTAATTTATAATTTCTCATTAATACATGATTATTATATAAAAGCATTTACGGCATTTTGGAAAATTATCATTTATGATCACTATTATATTAAGAATTTATAAGCAACATAATTAAAATCAAACAAAATCTTACAAGATTGTAAAGCATAATCATGTTAATTATTTTAAAGACTATATTAACGTTGGCTGAACAGACTTAATTTACTCTCGGTACAATAGAAACATTTTCGCACGCTTTACAAAGTTCATTATTAAGTTCATTAGCTATAAATATATTCTTGTTACCAACTTTCTTTCAATTTAGTTATTATTCTCGCTTTAAGGCATCATTTTTCAGTTACAGTTTAATTATTAATTTCAAAATTACATAGCCTAATACATTATTATCGGCAATTAGAGAAGAACGATTAATTTTTATCAATGCCAGTGAATAGAAAAATTAGAATGTATCGAATTACATTAAACTTATATCTAACATTGATCCATAACTATGAATAATTTAATTTAGAATTTAAATATCGCAGAGATGTAAAGTAAGAGGTCGATTATTATTTCTAGTGATGTTAAATATTCGTTTTTACTTATTTATATGCTTCATATTTGTCAGTATTAAGGCTAAAATGAGGCGCGTGAACAGTTTTTTAAAATTAGTTCGTGACAGATTATTAATGGTGAAGTTTTGAATAATAACACACATTTTTTATCTGCTTAGAGAATCGTAATGGTATCGTATTAACGAGCAAGTTAAAAACGATAATATTTTTTAAAAATGACAACGACAAAGAATAATAATCTTTAATAATGAATGATTTTTGGTGACTTTAATAATTTATCGGATACTCTCGGAAGGACATTAATAAATAAATAAAAAATTTAGCCATTCTCCAGGCAATAGAATTGAAATATATTTAAATTATTTTCCTCGCCACGAATAAAATAAGAAGTAAATTTAAACCTGTTCGTAATGCATAGTTGTAAACATCGAAGAGATGATCGAAGAAATGATTGATCGAAAGAAATTTATAAGTACTAGGCCCTTGACTATTACAACAAAACCCCGAAATTGCTAAACAATTATATAATAGTCGAGTTGTAGATGGGAAATAGATTCTCGATAATAATAAGCAATGTTGATAAATTAATCAAACAATTTTTTTCTAATTTAATTTAATTAATTTTATAATTTAAATTATTAACGACAATGAAAAGTGTAAATGTATTTAAAACAATAGCTAGGTAAATAATAAGAAGGATTTGCAAATGAATGTCATTCTCATGCAAGATTCATTGTAAAACGCGAAGATGCGACGAAATTCCAATAAGCTTTGTAATCGAGAAACCAAGCATCTTCCATCCTACGTACGGCGAATCCTTACGCTAATGAAAATTCTCACTCAGATGGATGATATTTGTTGAAGTATCTATTTTAGCAGTTTTAAATACGTAAATAGATGCTCTTCGCTTAAAGTAGGGACTCACAAACGAATACGACGTTAACGTCAAATTAATCGGCAAATAAGAAAGCATAGGCTCTTGTATTTTATAAGCGTTAGGTTGGCTTGAATGCACTGGATTTTCATTTTCTTTACTGGACAAAACAAATCGAGAATATCGAGAATACTTCATCGGTGCATCATGCGCACTAGATAGCGCGGCCTCGAAAGCAGAAGCTCACCTATGATATCTGGCATGCAGTATTCTCCTATCGTTTTGGTGACGCTCAAGTCCGTATGGAAAAGGAAGGAAAGGAGCGTATATAGGCGAATTGGGCTCCGAGAGTAAGCGAGGGCCCAAAAAGTAGGTCATCTTGACGTTCGTTCTCCATACGTATGCACGTGCGCGTACACGTTATTTCATGAGTTAAAGGTTCAGAATCACTGTAACTTCGAAGCTATGAGGTACTTTATCCTCGTGCCGTGTCAGCGCATTTTAAAGTCTGTATTATTTCACTGGCTGTATCCTCCTCTTTTTCCCTTGGCGCCTTATCATTTGTTAGCAGTATTATTGTTTTTACAATTGAATACTCTATAATACCATTGAATTAACGATTAATAACGACTTTAAAAGCATTATTAATTATTAGTTATTAAGATTATTACATTTTTCCGTAGTTGTCTCGAAAAGTCATTATTTAGTGAATTAACCTTCTTTTCCAAGTGTCTGTAACGATGAAAATTGATGTCAAGGTTTGTAAAGAAATTCCTGCTATAAGAAGATAATAGAAAAGTTTTTACAAAAGAGATAAAAAATGGGAAGATGAATCTGTCGAGTGTGAAGCACTTGTATATGACGTTGCTGACGTCAACGAATATTCATCTTAACAGTTATTTAAAATTTGGTTGATGACTCAATAATGATTGATCTCGAAATATTTTTGATTAATTGATTGGGAGAATATAAATGTTCATAATTATAATTTATTAAAAAAAAATTTATTGTACTTTATAATATAAAAAACTAAGAATCCCATGGGATTAAGAGATTTTAAAAATTTGAAGAATGTTTCCTTTCATCGTCATACAGCTCTTAAGCAATTAGATAGAGATAATTTAACTTGTAGTCATAAAATAGTTTTCCACTTTAAAATTTTTATCTGATCATTTAACGTGGAATGCTACGAGTATATTATACGGGATAAGAGATGCAAAGAAGATACATATGCGCATATTTACAATGTGTGCACTGTCTCCTTTCTTTCTCGCCTGTTCCTTCGCCTTTTTCTACCTGCTCCAGACATACAATCCTCTCTCGCTCTCTCTCTCTCTCTCTCTCTCTCTCTCTCTCTCTCTCCCTCTCGCTCACTTACTCTGTCTTTCTCTTTTTTTAGCCCGCCTGTCGTTGTGGTATCCCTCTAAGTGCATATCTGTTTTATCTCCCTTTAGTTTAGACTGTCCTTGTTCATCGTATTCTCGTTGTCTGGCTTGTGTTTGCTTTCGAAATTTCTTTCATTCGACTTTTTACGACGTTATTTTCCCTTTTCCAGTACAATGATTGCACTCTAAAGTTTGTGTTAACTTGTATAGTATTTAAAGCAAAAGATATCGAATTTCGCGATGTGTTAATTTTTGTAGTAATTTGAGTAAGTGATGCGTGTAGATTTCAGAATGAGTGAAAGTACTTCTTTATCTAACCATTTAACAGAGCTTTGCATTTTTTCTTAAATAGAAGTAATCAATATTTTGTAAATGGATATTAATCATTATAATTTATGCGTGAAATATAAAAATGCTGCTAAATATTACACTTTATCCTATTTTATAAAATTATTAACTTTTTGTCTCACTAGAAATTTTATTATAACTAGTTCTTGCGCAATACTTTTTTCTTATATCTGTATATAAGCTCCTTATACCTTTAGCTTATTGATCTCGAGACTATTTTTTTCGCATTTTTATAAGCTTTAGAATCATTTATCATGCTCTTTAATCTTTATTAATTCTTTAATTTTTCAAAGATATTTTATATTTTTTTTCCTGCGACTGTTGATTCAGTAACGTTTATTTTTTTTTTATATACTTTATTGAAATTTGTTTTAGCATACTGTTAATGGCTGTCATTATGTGGCTTCTATTATCTCGTATTTCTTGTATCTTATTCTTATTTTCTTCAATTTCTTTTACACGAATAATCATCAAGTAATAATTTTCATTTATTTTTACTAATCACTCAACTTATGTAAGTTGTTACTGTGTTTTGTTGATTAATGTATTAGAGAGAAAGGGAGAGAGACAGAGTGAGTGAGTGAGTGAGTGAGAGAGAGACAGAGTCATTTCATATTGCAATAATATTTCTTTCGTAAATTATACTGGAAATAAGAGGATTATTCGAGAAATTAGCTTGTGTTGATTATTTTTGTTGTTGTCTTTATTACATCTATTTTTCTTAATTGTTTACTCACTTGTTCTTCTAACTCATGTCTGCCTTTCCTTTTTTCTTGCGATGATGAAACTTGTTACGTTATTAATCATTTTAATGCTAAAAGAGAATAATTCATTTTAATCTCGAGGCTTACTATTGTTTTGATCCTTCACTATTTCTATTGCTTAGAACAAGTAATTGAAAGCAATACATAATTGATTTTAATTCGAATAATTTCTCATGTAATTACGTGAAAATAAGATATTAAATATATTAATGTCAGCTATTGATGTAATCCTAAATCAATATCGATTTGTTGTATCGTCAAGTGAACCGAGTAATAGTTTATAAACACAGATGAACGATCCGCAAGCCAATTCCATTATAT